CATCATGCAGAGTTCCTTCAGTTAATCAACGAACCTGTCGATAATTTTGAGGGGTGAGTCTTACACCGATGTCGTCTGGTTGATATTAAATCTTGTTAATTTGAAACCTCCTAGGTTAACTGCTCTTTAGATGGGTTTGATCACGCACATATAATTAGAAACCTCTTGCCTGAAGAACAAGAACTGTTTCTGGATCTGGTTTACCCGAGATGTTGTTCGTCGATTGATTATTAGTTCATCAGCCGAACTTCTTTTGATGTGACATTGCTGCATCCATCTATAGAACCATAAACTGTGTTCTTTCTTTCTTTCAGAGAGATGTTTGAACAGGCTGACCCGGACATGCCTCATGCCATTAATGTTACTCCAGCCGAACAGGCAGCCATCGAACGAGTATGAATGAACTCCTTTATAATTCCTGAGGTGCCTTCTTGTTTTTCCCTCTTCAAACTGGATCTGTGTGCTCAAACTTTTTGTGCTTGTTCCCTTGTGTAGCTCGAGGCGATGGGATTCGATAGAGCCTTAGTCATCGAGGCATTTTTGGCGTGCGATCGCAACGAGGAACTAGCAGCTAACTACTTACTGGAGAATTCTGGAGATTTTGATGACTAACCAACAAACAAAGAATTAATGTTAACCGCACTGTATTCATTATTTTTGGTGCTAAGATGAATTGGTATCCTTGTCAGCATATTCTTCTTCACTTTTTGAGTCTTCTTTGCATTACATTTTATATACTGTACTAATAAATAGGAAATTTAATTATTCTCTAGTATGGTCAGAATTGGTATTTTATGTTTTATTTAAAGCTCATTTGTTGCTAACTGGTTGGAAATATCAACTGACTATGCATCATGGTTTTGGGACGTTTTATGAAAATTTGAACTTTTGACTTGGAAATATGCTTATCTAACAGGCCTAAAACATCATGGAAGCTCGTTTTTTCAGACCATAAGTTTTTAAGTCGGTTCTAGCACAATAAGTCCTTAAATTTTTAATTTTTAGTTTTATATATCTCCCGATATGTTCTACAATTTTTTTAGATTAATAACGTATTGATCTCTTAGATATAGACATATAATATCAATTAATTTTAAAAATTATATATAAAAGTAAAAACAAATTTAGAAGTTTTTTTTTTTTTAAATATAATTAGAAGAACGATAAAATTATCGAACGGCCGTTAACTTAAATTAACGATAAAAAAAAAAAAACCCGGTTCAAAACGCGGAAGGGAGCGGACAACCTGATCTTGTGGATTTCGTATCCTTTATAAAACCGTGACCCGCGGACGAAAAAAATTTCACCTTTCTTTCTCTCTCGATCTCTTCGAAGAACAACAGCAAATTCTCCTTTCTTGCGATCTCCTTTGGCGCGTTTGTTTATTGACTGTAAGATTCACTCTCTCGTTTCATCATTTCTCGTAACTTGTAATACATTGTCTCTCTCAGATCTGCTCTTCTTCTGCCTTTTGTGATTTCTTTTTCTTAAATTTGATATTTCTGCCGAATATTGCGTTGTTCTTGAGTTTCTTCTTTTCTTCTATATTGTCGTGGATGTTGCTCATTTTTTTGGAGAATGTGCAGATCGATTGGATCGGATTTTATTTTTCCTTCTAGTATTAGCGTCGTTTTGGTGTATGGATTTCTCTCTTTTGCGATGTGGATTTGTATCGCGTGTGTAATTTGCTTTTAAATGTAGATCATATACTGATGTTTATGGATTTGGAGTTGGGCCGAGCTGATAAGATTATATGTGGCGTTGGATTTTATCAGGAACAATTAGTTTGTTTGAGGTTACGGAAATTATATGAAATTATATGGTTTAATGCTATGGACAAATTCTTGTTTCTGGCATGAGGAGAAATTTTTTCGTGTTTTAGGTTAATTTCTATGGGTTACTTGCCGCTGTTTGTCCATGGATCGGTGGCCTTTGATTATTTTGCTCCTCTAACTTCGATTTGGGATGGGTTAGAAGAGAGATCTCGAGTATTATAGCTGAGACTTGTTGTTGCCTTGAAAAATATAAAAGCAATTCTAATTGTTTTCTTGATGTATTAACTCTTGAATATCTAGTTAAAAGTTATGCGTTGGAAATGAATATTGAGACTTCTATTCATTCCATCTATAATATCACAAATTTTAATTCTTAGGCGAGCCTTCTACTACTGATGTTTACAAGTTTTGTTGCATTTTATCTTCCCTCGAATTCAACAAGTCCTCGAGTTCAATTTTCAAAACCTAATGCTTTTGGCCAAGCTTTTGATGGTCTTATTGTTTCGTGCATTTCATAATGTGTTGTTGCCTTCTGCAGATTACATTGACATCTTGCATCTTACTTCTTCAAATTCTAATATGTTTGAATGGTATCTGAATTTATTGAAACACACTTGCTGAAGAAAAGGGATATTGTGGCTATCTGTTTAATCTTGGCCCCCTTTTGCTTTTGTAGACGATTCTGAATTTGGTGCGCTAAGTTTCAGATCACAGAGGAAGATTAGAACGCTAGAACATGGTTCTTGACAGCATTCTAGCTTCTCCTCGCAGGAGGACCCCAACATTTAGGAAGCAGTTTCCTGCAAATGAGTTGGGAAGTTGGTCAACTCTCTTCAATCGACATCGCTTCCTCCTAACCGCACTGGCACTCTTGACTTGCCTTTGCACAATCTACCTTTATTTTGCAATCACATTAGGGGCTACTGCATCGTCTTGTTCGGGTTTGACTGGAGCTCAAAAAGAATTGTGTCATCTGGAGCATGCCAAGGCTTCTCTGGCTAAAGGCAAATTGAAATTTCTATGATACGTAGGGACCTCTTGAGGTACAAAGCTTCTCATTTATTGGTTCTTCTCTTCGGTGGGATCTGTATTTATAAGAAATGAAGATCATTGTAGGTCAAAAGTTCATTCATCCATTTTGATTCATACATGTAACTGATAAAAATGTAGCAGAATGTCATTAACATTGCTTCCTTGCATTAATTTGTTACTTTTTCCTTGCTTGTTTCTATGTTATGATGGGTTTATATGAAAACTTCAAGCAGAATAAATGTTCATATTGCTGTTGTGACATTAATTGATGGGAGCCTAATTTCTTGCAGTTTGTCATTCCCTCTGCCTTATTCCTGCCGGGCTGCCCCTAGAAACTGAAAACCTACCTATTTTACATTAAAAGATTGATGCTGTAAAAACTTTTAATAGGCTACTCTGTCAATAATTAGCCACTTCTCGAAAAAAATAGACTTTTTTTTTACTAATAAAACCCACCAACATGAATATGTGAATTTTTTTTTTTTTTTTTTTTTTTC